TTCAGATGGGATCAATTGATTCGTTTCTGCCCAATATCGTACTTTTTCCAATATCACTTTTTCGAAGAGTTTTGAAAGTGTTGCAAGTAGCGAAATCGGTCTTGTTTGGTCGCATCGCGGCACTCCTGCTTTTAATTTATTTAATGTCACTATTTTAGCTAATTTCCACTGCTCTTGATATCTACCCTCTTTAAGCCACACATTAAAACAATTTGTCAAACATATAATGTAACTCGGTGGGAGCAATTTGATCATGTAGTTCGAAATTTGGTCAAAACCTGATGACTTTTTTGGCTTAAGCTTTTTGATATATTTTGTTATTTCGAAAGCACTAGTTTGTTCTAATTTTTCCTCTGACATGCTTAATTCGTTCAGTAATAGTCCATATTCTTCTTCAATTCTTGTGTCATTCGGATCATCTTTATTTATTTCTGTTTTTTGAAACTGGTTTTCATAATATGAGAAAAGTGAGTTAACTATTTCCCTTTTGTTTGATATTATCGACTGTCCACTATCTATCTTTGAAAAAGGCAAGCTTTTGGATTTGTATACACGAGACAAATGAGACCAAAAGGCTTTTTCTGGTCGATCGGATTTCTCTTTAATTGTTGTCAAGAAGGATTGCCAACTAGACGATTTATGCATGGTAATTTCTCTCCTTACTTCACGATTCATCACTCTTAACAGAACACGTGTCTCTTCATTTTGACAACCACTTTTTCTCTCTCTATAGTATTTATTTCTTATTCTTCTAAGCTTCTTCAGCTTATCTATTATGAGAGGTGGAAGCGATGGTCTGTATTTTTCTTTTTCCTTCCATACCGTCACTCTGTTTTTTAATGCCGCGAGGAATCGAGTATAGTTTTTATACCATTCATCTACTGATGTTATAATTTGTTCTTTAATCCAAAAATCTTGAAGAAGCGCCAGCATTCCTTCAAAAATATGCCACTTGACGTGAGGGAAAAAATTTCTGATTTCGTAACCTATGTTTTCGCATGTCAGTACAATAGGCCAATGATCACTGGTGCCAAAAAAAATTGTTTCGGCGTTTATTCCGTCAATATTTGAGAAAGTGAGATCGATATTTCTCAGGGAGCGTTTTGATGAGTGAGACGAAGAAGGAATGTATGTAAGATTATTTTTTTCAATCCATTCTTTCAAAATTTTACCACGTTTATCCGACGCTGGACTATTCCATTCTTCTAATGACGCATTAAAATCTCCTGTTATTATTGTTTCTTGCGTTATATACGAATTTAAATCATCGAGGTCACGCTCTTGACCTTGAGGCCAATATATTCCAATGATTCGAATAGGATCCGAGAGATTAAAAACATCTACGATTACAGTGTTTTCGATTTCTAATTGAACTTGAGTAGCTCTTAAATGTTTCCCAACAGAGACACATACGCCACCACTTCTGTTTGTACCTTGTTGATGAAAAGTATTAAAATTAGGTATAGAAAACTTATTCCATAATTCTCCAACTTCTGTTAAAACACTAATTGAAGCATCAACTTTATAGACTAAATCTACTACTTCTAAATGACGCGTACCCCAGCCTTCCACATTATAGCAGAGAATGTTCAAAGGGACTTTTTCGGACGGTAGATACTTATTGTTATACTCTTCCCACTGCTGTAAAACTGACGAGAATGTGCTTCCACAGTACCACTCATCTAAGATGCAGCGGGTAAACTCGTTGACATTTTCTGTGAAGTTCCACTTATTTAAATATGATAATGATTGCGTCTTTCTTTCCGCGTCTTTCGTGTGGAGAGATAAAGGAAAAAAAACCTTAGCTGTTGGCTTGAGAGTTGAAATCACTTTCATTGAGTAATTGTATTGCTTGATGCAGCTGATGAGACTCTAGCTTTGCTTGTTTGGCCTTCTTTTTGCACGTCGGGAACTTGCTTCGATAATCTATTACTTGTACCAGCTTGTAGCTCTTCCAGAATGCTTGAAAAAGGTAGATGTTTTCTTTTTCCTTGTATTTTCGCTAACTCACATAGAGGATTTACCATAATCTCCATTACCTCACGTAATGAATATAGCGTATTTTTCATAGTCTTCTGTAGAAGCTCTAAGACTTCCGTATCGTGTTTCCTATGCAAATCCATTTCTTCAAACTTTTTCTCCATTCGAATATTCGTTTCAGTCATAATTGACAATTGATTATTTAGTGCTGTAAGGACACCTGTTAACTCTGTATATTCAGCTGTTGTTTGATGCTTTGGTAGTTGTTTTGATCCCCAGACTGGTATGTTGTTTCGATTGGGATGAGACAGAGGCGGAAAGTCGTCCGGATTGAAAATTGATACTTGTTTAGTTGGTTCTGATCTTTGTATTAC